CTGCAATCCGGCTGTCTAAAGCAAGGTCTGTGCGCACTAATCTGACAGCAGAGCTGCAGGGAAGAAGCTTTATCTCTGCAGAGCATTCTGGAGCCAGCTCATATTGCAAAGCAGCACTGTAAGAGGGGCTGCTCTGGGGGCCTGGCTGGGAGACTGCACTAGCCTAATGGGGTTGGAAGCCAAATTGTCTTGCTGGCTTCCACATTGAGCATTGGGGAGGCCAGAGCTGTCTACTGTGCCTGGGATTGATTTCTGGTGGAAGCCAAGGCTCTGCAGGGACAGGAGAGTGGTTTGACCCAGGGCCTCCTGAGGTCCTTGAGGAGTGCTTATGGACCTTGCAGAGAATGGAAAAGTGTTTGGGGCAGGGGGTAAGTGGCTCAGGGACAGGATCGGGGGGGGGGACTCCAATGCACAGAGCAACGAAGTATTGCTGCTTCAGGCATCAGTGATCTATGGTCAGAGGCATTTCAAGGAGATGAATGGGTGCAAAGCAGCTGCACCTCAACCATCCCTTTGCATTGCTCAGCCCCAGCCCAGCAGGAAATGTGTACGTTGGATTGGGAAGGAAAGCGGGGCAGGGGCATCTATTTACTAAGGAAGCATTGCAGTGGAGGTTGGGTGTCTCCACCCTCCCCAGAGCAGGCTGGCCCAACCACCCACATATGAGTAGATCCCTCTGCCATGCTGCTCCCAGACCTTTCCAGCCCTATGCTCTTGCCCAGAGCAGTGTTTGCTGTTCCTTGTTGGTGTTGACTTATGTTGAGGTGACATGTAGTACATGACAAGGGGACAGGGATTGGTGCACTGAGCGCCTGTCCTTGCATTAATCTCTAGCGTGGCATCAGATTGCAGACACTGACACAGCAGCAGGACTGTCAGCAGCCAGCCCTTTGCTCAGGATACCACTCTCCAGGCTGAGCTGGAGATGCTCAGGTGTGTCCCCGAACCAGGGCTTCTTCCTTCAATGCTGGGTGCAACCTTGTAGCTTGGAGCCCAAAGCAATAAAGGCATTCATTTTGATGTCTAATTTGAATCCATAGAGGGGTGAGCATAGCTGGAAAGAAAGGGTTAACCCATCTGAGGTTAATTAGTGCTTACACAGTTAGTGCCTTGTCTGCCTGTGGGCTGTGCTGAATTCATAGCTGGTAGTCACAGAGACAGAGTCTAAGAAAGAGATGCCCAAGCCTGTGACTTAACTCCTCTCTCTCTTTGCCACCCTACCCTAGGCTATTGTAAGGATAAATGCATTAAAGCTTGCAAGGTGCCAAGGTGCTTGGGCTATGGAGAGACATATCGGGACCATAGACGGAAGGGTGGGGATGGGATAGTTGGTGTCATCCTCCGTCTCCCAGATCATAGAAATCATAGATCATAGAGAAGTAGGGCTGAAAGGGACCTCCAGAGGTCATCTATTCTAGTACAACCCCAGTTGCACTCTGGTGTCAATTTACCCTGAACAGAAAAGCCAAAGGTACCATGTGCTTATAGCACTTGAAATCAAAATCTTTGAATTCATCAAATCTACATATTAACGTTTGTTAATATTCCTATGGAGGGAAGGTCTCAGGGGGTCGGGAGGGAATGGGTCTGTACAACTTCAGTCCTGCACCTTGTGTCTGCTGTAGAATGCAGATTTGGACAGCATGCTCTCTTCCTTACAGGACTTCTGCTTCAGGACTCAGATCTTCTGAGCTGTCTAGCCTGTCTGGGTGCCTACTCCTCAGTCACTCATTATAATGGAATGTTTAGTGTCCAAATCTCTTAGGCAGCTTCTGACTCAGCTGTCACCACGGCTTCTCCTGCTATCACAGTGCCACTGCCACCACTGCCCTCCCCCCAGCTGACTTTCCTCGCAAGTGCCACAGATGTTCCCTGTTACCAAGTTGCTGCAATTGTCCAGGTTTTGTGGGCTAGATCTGATCACTTGGCAGGCTGCATTTGGGCCATGCAGCATACTTTGCCAACCTCTGTCCTAGGCAACGTTTCTGTTGTGGACAAAATGGGTATTAATAAGGCTTTGCATGGCATTTTGAAATCCTTCTGCAAAAGGAACAATTCAAGCGATGTTCAATGAGCTGAAAACCTGTATGCAGAGGGCTGTGCTGAATTGTTCATCTGTTGTATCAAGGGGATTGCTGCTCTGTCAGGTTTTTCTTTTAACCTCTCCATTAACGATCTTAACTAGGAGTAAAGAGCATGATGACAAACTATCCTGATTACACTAGATGGGGAGAATTTGCAGGCATCAAAGTCAGAGAAATAGGCTTGGAGACCTGGATTGAGAATAAGATGCATCCTGGTGCAAAGGTGAGGGGGAGCAGGGGAGGAGCAGAAACCCTTGTCAGTAGTGGTGAGTAGGCCTGATAATGGAGACCAAGTTGAGGAGAGACTTGATTGAAAGTTTTCCAGTGAAATGAAGGAATTAAAGGCCAACTGACTGACAGATCTCAAAATTTAATTGCAAAATAGGGAAACTTCCTCCCTTGGGGTATTTTGCAATACAGACATCCCAGATACTTGTCCATAGTGTTCATTATCTTTAATGATAGTTTCATAGTAGCTAGGGTCAGGAGGGACCTGGACAGATCATCTAGCCTGACCCCCTGCCACACACAGGAATGAATGCTGGGTTCACAAGACCCCAGACAGGTGATCATCCAACCTCCTCTTGAATATGCCAAAGGTAGGGGCGAGGACCACTTCCCCGGGAAGTTGGTTCCAAATTTTGGCCACCCTAATTGTAAAATATTGCCGTCTGATCTCCAACCTAAACCTATTCTCCATCAGCTTATGACCATTGTTCCTCGCCACCCCAGGTGGTGCTGGGGAGAAAAGAGCTCTGCCTATTTGCTGTTGATCCCCCCCTGATGAGCTTGTAGGCAGCCACCAGGTCCCCCCTCAGACTCCTCTTGCTGAGGCTGAACAGGTTCAGGTCCATCAGTCTCTCCTCATAGGGCCTGTTCTGCTGCCCTCTCACCAAGCAGGTGGCCCTCCTCTGAACCCTCTCCAGGCTGGCCACATCCCTTTTGAAGTGCGGTGCCCAGCACTGGACGCAGTACTCCAACTGCGGCTTGACCAAAGTCGCATAGAGGGGGAGTACCTCTCTGGACCCGCTTT